TAGGGAAAAGAGAGATAATCTCTAAATAAACTTTCTGCTGGAATTTAGCACAGCTTATGTTACACTTCTTGGATCAGTAAAATAGAATCAAATTTCTTTAAGCAAAACAATGTAAGAATACGTTTTAAATGATCATGAAAAACAACAACCTTACATACCTAAAACTATTCTGTTGAGTAAGCACTGCGTCATAGACATTGTGCTCAGTGCCAGGAGGGTGATACAAAAACATATGATACTTTCTGCTTTTAAAAGGATTATAATATCAATGAGATGATGAGCCTTTTGGATCACTTAGGAACCAATACAAGTATGAATATAAAGAAAAGGCAGGTGCTGGTATGATAAATAGTTTACGAAGCTCAGAAGAGTGGACCTAGGCTCTTTCTTTCACATAACACTGCTAGCTTATAAAGCAAGAGGATATATTTAACGAAATCAAGTTTATTTCCCTGGTCACCAATCAATGGACCATGGATCATGAGCCAAGACTGCCAGAGCAATTCTTCATAAGAGATGATGACAAATGACTCAATCAAACTGTCTTTGTGCTTCAGGAACTTCAATCACCAAGATGTGAAAAAGATGAAAGTGGAATCATGGGAGCTACTATTGAAAAAGGAGTGACAACAAGCCACTATTCCACTTCTTCACAGAACTAGCGTACATCCTATTCCATGAAGCACAAGTACAGAGGGACCATTTGGGCCCTCAGCTAGTTCCTTACACTTCTATAATTCCCATTTATCTTACGATAAGTCCTTATTACTTAAAGTTATCCTTACAATCCATGTTATATGTATATGAAAGAAGGGGTGAAAACAGCCCAATATGACACTGTATCTAGAATACAGAAACTACAAGGAGGAGAGAAAGAGCCCTGAGGCAGCCACATAGCTAAAGCTGTATATAAACATATATATAAATATATTGCTATATTGTACATGTATTTGTAGCAGATGAAAAGACATGTTTAAGTGTTTACTTTTGATTCGAGGGACAGGTACTGAAAACAGAACATACACAAGAAATAAAAGTGTTCTAAAAGAAGGCATCTCTCTCATTTGAAAAAGAAATATCAAATAAGTGGAAATAATATGGCAAACTGACATTCTCAGCTATCTGAATCAAAAAGAACCTGTTCTTAACGAAGAACTGCCCCCAGAAAAATTTTAAAAACAAAAAAATCCTTTCCCCATTATATAATGGTGGATACAGTAGACAAGAAAGCAGCACTTAAGGATGATATTGGGATATTTATTGAAAATATAAGTAAATTAATATTATTTCTCTGCCTTTCTTCTCAATGTTACCTTTTCTGCCCCTTTAAAGTCACTTTCTTATCTAATTTTACATGATCTTTCCTCAGTATTTTTTTCTGTCCCATGCTCTTGAATTCATTTTCTTGTATTATTTAATCAACGTCTTCCCTTTCTAAATAGACTATCATACAAAAGCATTAAGAAATAAGTATTAAATTCAGTTGGATTTTTCTTATCAGTTATACTACAGGCAAAATGATTTGGAAGTTTGAAAAAAAGTTATTTCCCTTCCCTGCTCTCCAAATCCTACTAAAGCAAGTCAAAAAGGGCAAAATACTTATAGGGAAATAAGTTATGAATGCCTGGAACAAAAGTGCAAAATAGGTTACTATGTTAGGGGTAAAAACTCTTAAGGAAAGTCAGAAGAACAGAGAAGGTTTTGAGCCTTTCTCGGGACTACTGGGATCATGAGCATTCTTTCTTGTTGACCTATAACAAGGACTTAACAGTTATCAAAGAGTGTGTCTGCTTTACAGAAAATAATTTCAGACTCGGCGCCTGTGGCTCAAGTGGCTAAGGCGCCAGCCACATACACCTAAGATGGCGGGTTTGAATCCAGCCCAGGCCTGCCAACAATGATGGCTGCAACCAAAAAAAAATAGCCGAGCGTTGTGGCAGGCGGCTGTGGTCCCAGCTACTTGGGAGGCGGAGACAGGAGACTCGCTTGAGCCCAGGAGTTGGAGGTTGCTGTGAGCTGTGATGCCACAGCACTCTACCCAGGAGGACAGCTTGAGGCTCTGTCTCAAAAAAAAAAAAGAAAAAGAAAAAGAAAATAATTTCAGTAGCTCAATGATAATGAGATTAAAGGGTATAAGAACACAGAGTGTGAGGGTGGGTAAGTTTGGGGAAAAGTTGGTTTATTAAATAATGGTATACTAAACAGTCAACTTCTATGCTTTTAGACATTAAAATATTTTGTTAAATACATGTCCAATTATAAAAAAAAATGGCTTGGTTATTGGCTTTGTTATAAATGTCTGGTTCATGCCAAGCAAAAACTCGAGGTTTCAGAATCTCTGTATTTCTGAATTTCTGATGCAGGGTCAATTACAATAATTTCTGTCAATGTAATTAATTAAGAGCTTAAGTGGTTCTACACAAGAAATGAAGCCCCTTTTGTCTTTTTGATGAAATTGTTAGGAGAATATTTTACATTGAAAGATGAAAGACAAGACCAAGCATGAGATTATTTATTATTTCTTTCATTTTCATTTAAGCAAGAGCAAAGAAAATACTCCAGGTATAGAAGAACTAAATTCCTATCCTATAACATAATTTATTATCATCAGGATAAAATTAACTTCCTTTTTCCAACTGTTAAAACAAAACAAGGAAAAATGAAACAGACTGTTGTTTTATTACCTAATTAAGTAGAGGTTTAAAAATACTAAAAGGTGGGGGTGGTGCATGTGGCTCAGTGGGTATGGCGCCGGCCCCATATACCAAGGGTGGCGGGTTCCAACCGGGCCCTGGCCAAACTGCAACAACAACAACAACAAAAATACTAAAAGGTGATGAATCAGTGATTAGAAAATGATAAATCCAAAGAGAATGAGAGAGTTGAATATTAAAAGGTGGGGGGCAATGTACTTTCAACAGCACTTACACAGAAAACTAATGAGAAATAGCTTTTCATGGATGCAAAAATATGTAATGCATATGTTTTACAAAATAATACCATCCATTTTCTTTTATAAAAATGCAATCCCCTTAAAGCTAGAATTATTTTCTGTATAAAAAAATCCTTATTTTCTTCCCTTAGAAAAAAATTACTAATCATGACTATAAGCCAAGGCTTGAAAATTGCTACTTCTAGTATACATTCTATAGCTTTGATCAAATAATAGAGTAATCACCCTGAAGCTAAGAAAAACTATGGCTATTTGAGTGTTAAAAACATTCCTCTACAGAAATTAATATACATTTCAACACAATCCTTTTAAACCCAGCAAGTCTCTTCTTCATACTGCTAGATCCCATTCTTGAAAGTTTATTCATTGTTTTCCCACTACTTTGAACACAATTACTTCCACAGTAAAGCAAATATTTTGTTTTCATTGGCCAACACAGTTGGGGGAAACCCTGTTCTCAGCCGCCCCCTTGCTGCTGAAAAGAAACTTTGAGGCATTACAGAAATACACCAATTATATCTGAGAAAGGAAAATGAGCACAGGGAATTTTGTGAAAAGACAGAGAGCATGAGATGGCATGGCTACAGTAGTAATATTCCAAATCTGTTAGCATATTTGATTAATATCTGAAAAATATATAAAATGCTTGATGTCCCTAGTCTTTGCCAAAGTTTTCTGTTCCTGAAAATCTGAGCTGCTAGATATTTATACCTTAGGAAAAGAATTAACTGAGAATTTCAGTGAGAGTGATAAGAACCATCAGAGAATGAACTGTTAACTTTATTGCTATATATACAGTCATGCCTCGCTACACATGGGGGACTGGTTCCAGGGCCTCCCTGTGCACCCAAATCCCTGTATATTCAAGTCTAGTAGTAGGCCCTGTATGAAAAATCAGCTGTCTGTATGTGTAGGTTTGCATCCTAAGAATATTATATTTTTGATCCTCATTGGGTTGAGAAAAATCCACATATAAATGAACCCACATGTTTAAGGATCAAACTGGATTTATTTCTACCCCCCCCCATTTTGTTAAAAAAAAAAAAGAAGAAGAAAGACAAAAGAAGGCAGGCACAGGGGCACACACCTGTAATACCAGCTACGAGGGTTGTTTGAGCCCAGGAGATTGAGCTCAGCCTAGGCAACACAGTGAGACTTCTATCTCTTAAAATAAGAAATAAAAGAAAGAAGGGTTTGGGATACAAAGCACCTAAAAATTCTAACAGGGGTGTCCAACCTTTTAGTTTTTTTGAATCACACTGGGAGAAGAAGAGTTGTCTTGGGCCACACATTAAATAAACAAACACTAATGAAGACTGGTGAGCAAAAAAAGAAAGGTCTGTGCATAATTTTCATGATATCCAACACCACAGGTGAGCAAAAAGTCCTCACATAATCCATATTTGGCCTGTGGGCCACAGGGTGGACACCTCTAAAACCCATTCACGTGCTCCTGGGGTTAACATACAACATTTAAACAGAAATATTCATATGAAAACTCTATGAAGAACACGTACTATTTTCATTTTATAGGAAAAGTAGGTCAAATGTAAATAGCTATGAATTCTCTTTCCATTTAGTCTAACATTCGTAACATTCAAAAGTGCTGGTATAAACATTTACTTCTGCATAAGCTAACTGATTATTTAACACTTTTGGCAGCAACCAAATGTCTGATCAAGAAGAAAGACAAAAGGAATAGAGAGTTTCAGGAATGCAGATCCAAACATTCCACAATTAATACATTAACCTGCCCATGGCTACTAGTATGGCTACTAAGATGACAAAGAATAAAAATCAATAAATAATTTATATTTTCTAAATACAAACTCATAGACTGACACCGATTCCATGATCTCTTTCATAATGCTAAAAAGCTCAAAGTTAAGCATGTTTATTACAGCACTTAGACTGCCTCACTCACATAGTTTATTTTATATTGCTTCCTATCTCACATAGCTGTATCTTCTTAAGTATTCATCCCAATATCTTATATATACAGCAGGCACTCAAAAATATTTGCTTTATTCTTTCAAGATGAACTTACCCTTCGAAATGACACAACATAAAATGTGTCTCCTCTTCTCCTGATGGCTTCAAAAAAGTCTTGATAACTTCTGGGTGAAGCATAATACACCTGTAGCTCATTCCCTGAGTTTCTAATAAGGTAAGAAAAATGTAACGTATTATTAAAGTAAAAAGGTCCATGTTGTCCCCAAATGCTGCCATTCTAAGGCTATGTCTAAATGACAAGAATCTCTCTCATCCAATATATTACTAGCACTTTGGTAGTAATTTTTATACTAATTTGAAAAGCCCAAGATAAGGATATTTACAAGATCCTGTTCACTAAAGCAACATTCATGTTTCTGAACTAAGACTCTAAGATGCACTAAATATTAAAACTGCCAGAAAATAGATTATTGCATAGGTATGCTTGGTTTTACAATTTTTGGTAATAAAAATCAAGTCTGAGGAAAAGTCATTTTTTACCACTCTTGTCAAATATGTAACGATGTGCTTGCCTAGGAGGCTGTGGAAAGAGATTATGATTTGGAAACAAACAGACTTAGCTTTGAATTTCTGCTATACTCCTCAAGTCTATATTTTTAAGGAAATCAACCTCTCTGAGGAACCTGCCTGCTCATTAATAAAATGAGAATAGGCCGAGCACAGTGGCTCAGGCCTGTAATCCCAGCACTTTGGGAGGCTGAGTTGGGCAGACTGCCTGAGCTCAAAAGTGCGAGACCCAGCCTGAGCTAGAGTGAGACCCCATTTCTAAAAATAGCCAGGCGTTGTGGCGAGCCCCTATAGTTCTAGCTACTTGGGAGGCTGAGGCAAGAAAATCGCTTGAACCCAAGAGTTAGAGGATGCAGAGCGCTATGATGACACAGCACTCTACTGGGGGTGACAAAGGGAGACTCTGTCTCAAAAAATAAAATAAAATAAAATAAGAATAACCAAATAAATCTTGTAGGACTGTTATTGGGGATAATACACATGTATATGTAAACTGCCAAGCATGGGTCCTGCTCCACAGAAGTCACTCAACCATCGCTAGCCATTGCTATTAAAAGCATCATGTAAGTGTACTGATAAAATTAGAAACTAAAATTATAAGCCACACCAGGCCCCAAAAGATACACTCAAATGATACAGTTCTTAACATTGTCAGGTCTTTTAGTGTTTAGGGCTAATATCAAAAAGAGTCAAAGGGATCCTACAGTGCTTCATTTTTCTCCAAAAAGGAAACTTATATATATCAATCACCTTATTAACTTGAGAGGAGAAAAAGACTAACCTAAATGGAAAAGATAATTGAGTCACAAGAACTTCCTCTGAAATAATCGCATTTGCTCACTAGGCCATTTCTCATTATATTTTGAATACACAGTCAATTCTTATTATTTGTTATAGTTATGTTCTAATAAGTCACTGCAAATACTAAATTAGTGAATCCTAAACTATTCTTCTAGAAGAAACATAGAGTTAGGTTCTTGCGACCCTCTGGTTACAGTATTTTTGTCTACCAATCAATATGTAACCTTCATTTATGTGTTTCAGTTTAAAGACACCTTTTAACTGTATTATTCATTCCTTAACTTGAACTCACAATCAACATCACTTAACTCATGCCTGAGTGAAACTTACGTAACACATGTGTATTCTCCATAAAGCACATCGCAGTTCACTTGGACTTAGCAATATGCCTGGGGCGACTTTAAAGAGGAAAATTGCTAGTATAAAGCACAAAATTATAAAAAATGTGGCACTAACTGGACCATTAAAAAAAGCTTTGTTTGTACTGTGAAAGCTGAAACAAGAAGGTAGAATGTTGCTGTGTTCCACCTCCCCTGTGAGCATCTATGCATGTTTGCCAATGACAAAAAAAAAGGCACCTCAAGTATTGACTTTGGGGCTATAAACAAATTTTAGCAGATTTTAGTAGGTGAATTAGCAAACACAGAATCCGTAAATAATGAACATTTACTCTAACTAAAAGTATTTTTAACTAATGAAGAAATACTATGCCATCATAGTATACTTCATAGAATTGATGTATTTTAAAAATAAATGTATAATTGAACGATATAGTCTGGCTAAAAGAGAATTATTAGTTACTATTTAAATATATTTGACTTATCCATTTCAACTGGATAATACAATATCAGAATTTTAAATATTCATGACTGCTGATATGCTGCTCATTGCCATTTAATAGGAAGTCCAGTTAATAACATCATCAATAAAAAGGCTTTCAACTTACTTTTTTTTTTTGAGACAGAACTTCACTTTCTTGCCCTCTATAGAGTACAGTGGCATCATAGCTCACTATAACCTCATACTCTTGGGCTCAAGTGATCCTCTTGCCTCAGCCTCCATGGTAGCCAGAACTATAGGTGCTCACCACAACACCCAGCTATTATTTTTAGAGATGTGGTCTCACTCTAGTTCAGGCTGGTCTCAAGCTCCTGAGCTCAGGCAATCTACCTGCCTTGGCCTCCCAGAGTACTAGGATTATAGGCATGAGCCATGGCGCAGCGCCCAGCTCAACTTACATTCTTTGCTATGTATATTTTTTCTCACTGCCTAGAGCACTGCTAGGCATATAGTAGGCTCTTAGTGAATGTTAGATTAACATTAAGTAAATAGTAAACCATAAGTCAGTTACAGAGCTACAGGTAAAAGCTGAGACTGTCAACTTTTACTTCAGTGATACTACTGTCAATATTATCACATCATCATCACTTACCATGTTTGGAGGCATTCAATATGTACCAAGTACCATGCTAACTGCTGTAAATATATTATCTAATATAAGCATTATATCAACTCTGTGCAGCCAGAATTTTGTAGATGAGAAAACTTCAATTACATTAACCTACTTGAACTCCCAGAGTAACTAAGTGGTGATCATGATTCGAACTCTGTCCAACAGAACAGAAAAAGCTAGCGTGTTAACCATGATGCTATGTTGCTGCCCATATCATCTTTCCTTTTAGTTAGCTATGTCTTGGTGAACACTTTTAAACCTCTAGATATAGCACTCCCTTTGGAATCTTTCAAAATCTTAATAAGTATTGTGTAGTCTGGGTGTAATGGCTCATACCTATAATCCCTGCACTCTGGGAAGCTGAGGCGGGTGGATCACCTGAGCTCAGGACCTGGAGACTACCCTGTCTCTACTAAAATTAGAAAAAACTAGCTGGGCATTATAGCAGGTGCCTGCACTCCCAGCTACCCAGAAAGCTAAGGCAAGAGGATCACTTGAGCTCAGGAGTTTGAGGTTGCTGTGAGCTATGATGCCATGGTACTCTACCCAGGGTGATGGAGATTCTGTCTCAATTTTAAAAAGTATTGTGTAGTAAAAAATGGATGGTAGGGTGCAGTGGCTCACGCCTATAATCCTAGCACTTGGGAGACTAAGGTGGGTGGATTTCCTGAGCTCACAGGTTTGAGACCAACCTGAGCCAGACTGAGACTTGCACCTCTAAAAATAGCCGGCTGTCGTGGCGGATGCCTGTAGTCTCAGCTATTCAGGAGGCTGAGGCAAGAGAATCACTAGAACTTAAGAGTTGGAGGTTGCTGTGAGCTATGATGCCATGGTGAGACTCTGTCTCAAAAAAAAAAATGGATTGTAAGTCAAACAGTTAGGGTCTAAATTCCGATTTTGCCACTTGATTCTATGACTCTGAAAATTACAAAAAATAAATGACTTGCCCAGTTTTTCCATATATATAAAATATACTTTGAGTTATTGTATAGATTTGCAGATAAAATGCATGTAAAGCACTCAGCAGGACACCTGGCATAAAGAACCAAAAAATAACATTCCCTTCCCCTAGGCTCATGAAATGGATGCAAATCAAGAGCAGGAGGGTTGCATTTATTCAAGATTTTTGTCAAAATCATCAATGAACAGCACTCTGACTAAATCTCTATTTAAGGGATTTGGGAGAGATGAACTTTTGAAATTATCTGGCTGTACTCCAACTGCTCAGAAATAATGTATATTATTAATATATATATATAAAACAGTATATAACTGATATAAGAATCATAGATAAGAACAAATTTAAGATGAAAAGTGTCAATTTCCATTTTACCAAAATACCAGCTGGTTACAATTCCCTGGCCAACCACCCCGACACTTTCCTACCTGATACTGCTGGTTTCTGTGTATTGAACAGCCATCAGCTGAGAGTTTGAGCCCTGTTCCAGAGCACCCTGGAAGAGAAAAAAGTTTAATGTCATATAATGAAATTATATGAAGGTCTTCCTACACTGACTCACTCGATATTTACATTTGCTAAACTTTCACTGAAGTATTCATATTCTGACATGAATATGAAGTCCAAATAATAAAACACTAAGAGAAATCAAAGCTCTTTGGGTCACATTCTTGGCTGAGAGATGTGTATTGTGGAGATTAGGACATTTAAAGCACTTCTCATAAAGATTAAAGAAAGAGTCCAAAAGTTTAGTCCAAGCACCGTAAGTTTTATGACCAAGCTACAAGTAGTACTGAACATATAACAACTTATGCTTGACAGCACTTTAATAATTATGTTACTAATGACAAGTTCCTAAGAATATGAAAAATCCATAATCAAACAAGACCCTATTGTTTACTGAGTTAAACACAAAGATCTTAAGACCTACAGACACCTATTGACTATGTCATCATTAAAGAGGTATCACTGATGACTCTTTAGGCAAAAGAACAGTTCAATCTGGAACCATTAGTGACCCGAAAATGGTACGTGGGAAACCCGTCTTTCACACAGCATGTTTGGTATATTGACCTTCAGAAAAGTTTTAGAAGAGTACCAGAGTTCAGGGCAGGGCACAGTGGTTCATACTTGTAATCTAGCTCTCTGGAGGTGGAAACAGGTGAATTGCCTGAGCTCAGGAGTTGGAGATCAGCATGAGCAAGAGCAATACCCTATCTCTACTACAAATAGAAAAACTAGCAGGGAGTTGTGGAATGCCTACTATGACCTTTCAAACAAAAAATTCAAAATAGCTGCCCTGAAGAAGCTCAATGAACTTTAAGACAACACAGAAAAGGAATTCAGAAGCCTGCCAGAGAAATACAACAAAGAGATTGAAATAATTTTTTAAAAAAATCAAGCAGAATTCTGGAATTTAAGAATTCAACTGACAAACTAAGAAATGTACCAGTCTTCCAACAACAGAATTGATCAAGCAGAAGAATTAGTGAGTTTGAAGACAGGATAGCTGAAAATACCGAGAAGAGAAAAAAAGAATCAAAAAGAAGGAAGCATACCTACAAGGTCTAAAAAACAGCCTCAAAGGGGGCAGATCTAAGAGTTATTAGCCTTAAGAGGAGGCAGAGAGATTGGGGCAAAATGTTTATTCAAATAAATGAAATTTCCTACTTTATCTTATACTACCCATGGTTTGGAAGTCTACTTTATCTGATTAATATAATCACTCATACCAGCTTTTTAATGCTTAATGTTTGCATGGTATACATATTTTTCACTCTTTAATATTCCATTTGTTTGTATCTTTATATTTAAAATGTTTTGGGGTTTTTTTTTTGAGTCAGAGTCTCACTTTGTTACCCTTGTTAGAGTACCATGGTGTGAAGGCTCATAGCAACCTCAAACTCCTGGGCTCAAGAGATTCTCTGGCCTCAACCTCCTGAGTAGCTAGGACTATAGGCACCTGCTACAATGCCCAGCTATTTTTAGAGATGGGGTCTTGCTCTAACTCAGGCTGTTCTTGAACTCCTGAGCTCAAGCAATCCATCTGCCTCGGCCTCCCAGAGTGCTAGAATTATAGGCTTGAGCCACTGGCCCCTAAAATGTTATTTCTTATGAACAGCATATGGTTGGATCATCCCTTTAAAAAAATCTAGTCTAATAACCTCTGTCTTTTATTTGATGTATTTAGCCCATTGAACTAAATTATTAATATGATTGGATTTAAGTCAACCATCTTCGTGTATCTATTTATTTATTTATTTTTAGATTCTGTCTCACTTTATTGTCCTCAGTAGAGTCCCATGGAGTCACAGCTCACAGCAACCTCCGACTCCTGAGCTTAGGCGAGTCTCTTGCCTCAGCCTCCTGAGTAGCTGGGACCACAGGCGCCCACCACAACACCTGGCTGTTTTCTTTTTCCTTGTTGCAATTTGACTGGGGCCAGATTCGAACCCACTACTCTCGGTATATGGGCCCGGCACCCTACCCACTGAGCCACCGGTGCCACCCCCTTGCTGTATTTTTTATTTATTCTACTTGTTCTTTATTTGATTCTCTTTTGCTGCCATCTTTTCCTTGAACTACACTATTTTTTAGTATTCCATTTTCTTTACGTTAGTTTGTAATGGCTGCTATAAAGATTATAGTTTGATCTTTAAAGAACACTAAGCACCCCTTCTACAGCAAACACTCATGAAAAATTAAAGACAAGGCAAAAAAAACCCCACATTTAAGCCAAGAATCTTAATCTAATTTTTCATAAAGTCCATTACACCAGTTGTGTGAGATTATCTACTCACACATACCTACAAGGTATGTTATCTACTGGCAATGATCTATTCTTGCCTCCTGTGCTCTACCCTAGACAGCAAAGGATGGAAGCTTGAAACCTGTATTACTCAAACTACTTTGCCATCAGTGTTCTGAGTATAATGATTAAAAGCCCATGTTTCTTGATGTCCTTATAATGTACTTTTGAACATATCACATACTACTTCCAATTAGTATCCAAATAATCAAGTAGTTAAGATGTTTCCATTAGCATGTAACCACATAAAACTGGTGAAATGCAGTATTTCCCATCCAAATATATAACCACTTTCTTATGGCTATTCCATTTCTCTATTCCCATGTATAGGGATTACCCTGAAATAATTTCCTTCACTTCCTCCTCCATTATTACTTCCCTGAATCCATTTCAATCGCCTTTTGTTATGGCTACTTCAATGAAACAACTTTCATCAAGGTTAACAACTTTCATCTGTTGCCAGGCAATAGTGCAGTGGCTCCTGATACTCACAGCAACCTCAAGCTCCTGGGCTTAAGCAATCCCTCTTGCCTCAGCTTTCTGAATAACTGGGACTACAGACGCATGCCACCACACCTACTTAATTTGTCTATTTTATATAGGCACAGAGTCTTGCTCTTGTTGGCGTCAAGTGATCCTCCCTACACAGCCTTCCAGAATGCTAGGATTACTGGTGTAAGCCACCATGCCTGGCCCACATTCCTCTTCTTAGAACCCTTTGTTTAGTTAGATGACCACTGTTTATGCCTGCAATACCCAGAACCTGGGAGGCCAAAGTGGGAGAACTGCTTGAGGCCAAGAATTTAGCCTGGGTAACATAGCTGCAAGATCCCATATATGCAGAAAATAAAACAATTAGTGGGACATGGTGGCACAGTACTATAGTCCTAGCTACCCAAGAGTCTGAAGCAAGAGCCTCACCTGAGCCTATGAGTTCAAGATTACAGTGAATGAGCTACAATCATACCACTGTACCCAAGTCTGAGCCAACAGAACAAGATCCTACATCAAGCAATCAATCATCAATAAATAAATAAATAACACAGCTTTCTTTGCTTGGGTTTTGGGAAACCACCATCCTACATCTTATCTTACCAGTCACCTACCCCTCTTCCTTCTCAAGTTCTGATTCTTTTCTTTCAGCCTCTAATGTTGGAGTTGACCCATGGCTCAGTTCCTCACTCTTTTCTTTTCTCTTTAGTTTCTCCCTAGTTAATATCATCTCCAATTAAATGTCAATTCCCAGCCTCGCTCCTAAATTCCAGCCCTAGAGATTTGATTGTCCACTTGATTTCTCCACTTGATGTCTAATAGCCATATCAAACTTGACATTTCTATAACTCTAAACTCTTGCGCCCAATTTTTCCTTCCCCAGTCTTAGTCTACTAAGTAAATGGCATTGCCATTCATCTATCTACAGCATAGGAGTTAGCACTGGTTCCTTTTTATTTTACATCAACAATTTCTATCAGCTCTACTTTCAAAATATACTTGGCATCTAAGTACTTTCCTCCACCTTCACATCTACCACAATAGTATGGGCCACAACTCTCTCTCACCTAGACTACTGAAATGTCTTCTTAACTGGTCTCCCTACTTCCAGTCTTGGTCTTTGTATTGGTCTACTTTGAATAGCAGCTAGTGGTTTTTAAAAATATCAATCAGATCTGGGGTGGCGCCTGTGGCTCAATGAGTAGGGCGCCGGCCTCATATACCGAGGGTGGTGGGTTTGAACCTGGCCCCAGCCAAAC